GAAAGGAGAAGCCAACCTCGATATCCTGGGCACTGAATAAAGAAATGGAGTGTTAGAAAGTGCAAAAGACCATTATAAGACACAGTTGATGTAGTTGAAGTATGGACAACAAATTCATGGTTGTTTGCATAAACACAACTCCTATATATTTTTCGCCGGAGTCATCAATCTAGCAGTACTGTTTCTATATACGTGTGGTGTGTCATATTAATTGGTGTTTTTTGGATTCACTGTGTTTACAGGAATCGACCTCTGCACCATTTGATGCAGTAAAACAACTTAACATGACCTTATCTAGTTTTCGCATCCACGATCGAATTTCTTTCCTGTTATGAAACTACGATAAGACTGCTGAAAAATGGAATAAATATATCACTGATCTCAACATAATACATCAATAAACTTTGAGCCAAGGGCGCCGCTTACAACAAAGTTATATAGGAGAATTGACTTCAAGCTTTATTTTTCCCAGATACCTGTATTACATTCATCTGACGCCTGGGATTTTGTTAATGCGAAGACAATATTTCTATACCTCTTTATGTGCTACACAAACAGACTTTATAGCAGACTGTTCCGACTGACTCTAATGTCAGAAAGAACAACCAAACTGTAAATTCATCATACATAAAATTATGTGTAATTTACATAATAACCTATCCATGCCTGTACAATTGGTATGTTCCTGCATAAACAGGAAAAAATATATTATATACTTGCTGTTTTCGTACCTCGTTGTTATTGCATAATTTGTTAAATGTTTCGTCGTGCTTACTTCTGAAGTAGTTTTGAGTCTTCCACACCCGTGAATGAATTGATTGATGTTAAAGACGGTAGATGGGTCGTGTACGCCGGGGAGGTTAGTGCTGAGAATGATATGCACACAGAGATAAGGATTAGCTTTGGTCCCACACGCCAGGGAGCTGGAGTGTATACGACTGAGGCGTGCATACGTCACCTTTACTAGAACTGAGGCAGAATGAGTGACAAGCGATCGCAGTGGTAATTAGTAGTGAATAGATAAGAGGATGTGCGAAGAGTATCATGAGGTGGTGCTATGGTCACGCTGATTTCTGCAAGAGTCATTCTAGCAAGTGGCGACTATCTTGCAAAATGTCTAGAGGATGCCTTTAACTGGAAGGTTTAGGTCGTCGTCGATGTGTGAGATCGTGCTGTGGGTATGCTTGTGGTGTGTTGGCTTTTCTGTTTATTTTCCATTTCAGCTTTGTCCGTGTGACCCAGGTTCTCGCAATGGCATCCGAGTCAACGTGTATTGGTCGTGATGGAAGAAAGGGATGGATCCCTTTTTTGGAGGGGAGTGTCAATGTAGTTGAAGATTGAACGATCAATTCATGGTTGTTTGCTCAAACCCAACTCTATATTTTGGCGGGAGTCATAGATACTGCAATCCTTGTTCCATCGTTCGCTGTTTGTTGGAAGACAGAGAAAAACTATCAGAAATATTATCCTGATTTGTTGTTACAACATTTATTCTTAGACCTTATGTGTAATAACCCTGTTGTTGGTTACATATTGGCGTCAGAATAAAGGATTCTCGAGTCACTAATCTGTGTTCTGGTTTTTCGCGTTGGTTATTACAAATTGCTTCTGAAAGTCTTCCAGGGACAGCGTGAGGTCCAGCGTGGTAAGAGCTGGACATTGACAGTTTCTGAGAGTTGGCTGACAGACACCTTGGTATATGAAAATGAGGCTTCGTGTGAAATTGAGCTCCGAATTTTATTTCGATTGCACATGTTTAAATGAGAGAGGACCTCAATACAGATGAAACTTCTGAAAAATGGTGGAGGAAATCTAGTTGTGTAAGAGGTTTAACAGGGAAAGCGCCTGGCCGATTCTCCCAGTGGATTTCTGCGCCGATCACTTTTTACAACCCATCCAAAATCCCAGCGGTGACCATAGAACTGACAGTGAACACCAATCTCCTGATAAAAATGGAAGTCTTGAATGCTTTAATGTTACCGAGAGAGAGGGGGCAGCCGGACCGCATGTAATTCCTGCAGAATCATTCACAGCAGTTCTATATGCTTCTACGGGTAGGCTCACTCCAATATTGTAGAAGATTTAGAAGGAGAGCAAGATACCTAGGGATTGGTAGAAAGGCTACTTTGTCATGCTGTCAAAGCATGGTGACCCAAACCTTTACAGAAACTAGTGCAGAATCGTGATTCCGTCCACGCCAAAACAAAAACAGCACTGCGCCATCCTGGAGAGAATAAAAAATGCTCTGGATGCAAAATAAGTTGGATTCAGGAAAGTCCAATCATTTGCCACTCTAAATGTAGAATGAAAGTTGTCCTCATTTCAAACTCATAGAGTTTGAAAGGGTCTTCGACAGCGTTGTCTATGAAGTTATTTGGAAACTACTGTAGCGTTCAAAGCACTCCGAACCTTTACCAACCTCATGTAACTGCTACACAGTAATGCAACATAATAAGTGGTTTACTCCGAAAAACTGAGAAAAACCTTTGAAGTAAAGAAGGGAGTAAGATGAGGCTGCCACAGTCACCGATGATATACACTCATGATTGTGGTAGAATGAATCATGTGGAAGACTGTGAAGTGTGGAAAGACATGAATAAACTGGATCAATAATAGGACTCTAGAAGGCCTGGACATTTTGGATGATTTTTGTCTGGTGTTTCATAAATTCGAAGAACTTACAGACACAAAACCAACAAGCTGTCAAAAGAATCAGCTAGTACAGGATTTTAAGTGAACACGGAAAAGACAGGCGAATATACCCAATGAGCAACAATAACAAGTACAAATCACTGTCGGCGGGAAAGATTTGGAGGCATTAACTCTTTTCGAATATCTGGGCAGCATCGTTTTAACTACAGGTGGTTCAGACGAGGTTGTGAAAATGAGGGTGGAAAAAGCAAGACATACCTGAAGTAATCCGGAAATCTTCCACACTAAGTATGAAGACCAAAATTCGGTTTTCCAGCAAAAGTGTTGAGTAAGTCAATCTAGTGATACTTACACTTACCCTTTTCATTACACTTTATTGATTCACCTTAGCACTTTTACTTTTCTAAAACAGCTTTCAATCCCTTGTAAACGTTGTACTTACCTCAATATTGGTTGGTTACCGTATGCCTACAACCACGGGATGAAAACGAAACAAGTCAATTTTACCGCTCAACCTGGAGGACAATCGTACAATTCAATACTATACAGCCTAGTTCAGACAATGAGTGTATTTATATATATATATATATCAAATATTTAACTGTCGAAGCATTATTAACCTGTAGACAATCTACGATTTGATATTATATCATACTTGATCGTGCCTGTAAAAATGGCATGCATTTTCATGTAAATTTATATGTTTATATGAGAATATACATTATTATTATTAGAGACTCAGTGATTAAATAGATGTATTTCCAAAAGGTTGAAGGCTTCTATTGGCAGCTGTCTTTGCTTCATAGTGAAGACTAAAAGGTCAGAATTAATTAGCAAAGGGGAATTCCGGCAACGGATGGACGAAGAACTCATTGCAGATGAGATATGCTGAGGAAAATGAAGGTGGATAAGACAGACGCTGAGGGGCTTTCAGGTGACATCGCTTGCTAGGCTTTCGAGTAAAACCTGAGTGGGAAGCGATGAGTTGGGAAGGAGAGATAAAAGCTTATGCGGCAGGATTACAATTTCGTTAAATTTATAATTAAATGTCCATAAAACGCTGATTTCATGAAAACTGTTTCAGTTATTTTGGAGTCAAGAATTTTCCCGTTTTTATTTTTTGGAATCTAATTGGTTACTGGCTTTGTATTTCCACTTCCTGCTTTACCGCCCAATATGCCGGCACCACCTTTAGTCCAACTGCACATTTTAAAACCCTTTACTCTTCTGATGTTGGCTTCGGTCTGCGCCCTCTTCCACGGATAGTCTCCACATCCCTACCATTATTCAGGCTCCTGATCAATGGCGTCGTCATCCTTCCCTATGCAAGGATATCACATACTAGTTCAAATGACAAACGGAGACCTCTGATTCACTGTGGTGCCATGTTGTTTGTTACTCCTCAAAGAGCATATCTAATACTGATACCAAATTAATTATCAGTCACTAATAAACCCCACTTCACATGAGGCCTTGCAATTCCAAATTCTCATTGCTTTGCTGGATCTTTCAGTATTGTTCTTGGCTAAGGATTCATTTTCCCTGTGTGATGAAGACTGCACTAGTTATGAGACAAAGGCTAGTGCATGCAAATGAAAATGTTTATGATGACAAGTGTTCGGAGTTACATCCACGTTACCTTCGTGAAACTTCTGCTTTGTATGTTTGTCAGGTTTCTTTTGTTTCTTCTGCTGCCACATGGTTTCATTCGACTGTTTCGCTTCGTACTCTAGATGGGTCTGTACTTTTTTGGCAGAAAGATAATACCGTTTGATTACAGTGAGTCCTTATAGATGGTACACAGAGCTTCTACAGTATGCATTACTAGCTTACGCTTCCGGGTGAGGCAGATGACAGTGCCTGCTACTGTATTGTGTGACGGCGGATTGATTTCTGGAACGCTTGTGGTTTTCATTGTTACTAAATGCACTTGAATTTTATTCGAAATAAACTCAATATGTGTAATAAACTATAACATTTAAGGGACAGAGTGGATTTATATAGAAAGTAAATGAACAAGATGACTTTACTTTCATATGATATGCTATGTCACATTCATGGACATACTGATTATATCTGACGGATAAATGACAAATTTAACACATTCAGGTAGCGGATATTGGACTCAACATCCGAGGCATTTCACGAAGTCTTATGTTTCACAAAGTAGCCAAGGAAACAATAGACACTGAAGTCTGAGAATAGTATGGCTGTTATTCCAATATAAATTTAAAAATTCTAATCGTGGAAATCATACGGTTTCTTCCCATAGCTTAGTTGAGAGAAAATGAGTAACACAAGTCCTACAGAGTATTTGATTATCCAGTAATATATAAAAATAAAGATGAGCGATAACTTTCAATTAAAAGTTAGAATAGTTGATGTACTTATTCCACACTTTGTGGGCCCTAGTATCACCGCAGTTTTGAAAACGTCAAGGTTGTTTTCCTTGGGATGATAACACTTCGCATCCTGTAAGTTACTTCTTACGTTTCTCATTTCATATTATAATTTACCTAGAAGAAGTATTTTTTTTGTCTTTTTATAAGTGTTAGTTGAGAGAGAATTCATCTAGCTGTCATCAGAATATTGTTGTAGCTAGGCTTGTTGCAAAATTACGTGTTTGCATGCATGTATGTTGTAACGGATGCTTGTGCGTAATCTTATTTTACTATTTTGGTAGTTATTTCGTTCAAAAACAGTTACTTTAATGAATTGATTCAAATTCTACTTGTAAAAATCAGTTCAATGGATATTTACACAAATCCACTATGAATCCAAATTATGTAGCTATATGTGACATTTGCGTCTGCGCAGAAAAGTTTCGGAACGTAAGCCAAAAATACCTTTCAGAGGGAAACCGTAAAGAAAACCCGAACCATCTAATTTCTAGACTTTAACCAAACAGTAGTTCTATATCCTGACAACAAACAACAATCTTCGGAATAAATACTCATACCTTTGCAGAAGACATTAGTTATTCTTGTAAAATTTCAACAAAATGTGTTATGTATTCAATCGCTCTTTATGAATAAGTTATCTGGTGGGGTGTAGTCTGGAATATATGCATGTGTATACATATAGGTTTCTGTGTGACTCTTCCGTAGATTTTCTTGTAAGATACGGGAAATGTTTTTAGTGACACGTAAATCCAACTGCTTAGATATTATTTACGTATGATTCTTAAAGTTCCTTTACTCGGATTGGTTATCGAAGGTCCTTTTGAGAATTCTTGCTGGTATATACAGATGTAGTTTACCAATATTTGAGTCATTTTACTGACCCATTAACTATGCTTTGTTGTGTTATTCGAACCGCAGAAGTATTTTCTCCATAGGAAAACTAATTAAAACATTCAAATTATTTGATACTTGGGCTCAGTTTAACACCTCTCAAAACTAAATTATTATTCTTTACTTGATCGGTATCAGTACTACTTACTTTAGGCGTGCCCACCTCTATAAGTTACAATAGTCTCATTTTACCTTCGTAAAGGTAAGCCAGTTACGAAGCAGGTGAGATGCCTGTTAAGGTTCATGTATTTTGTGCATAAGCGCTCGTAACCTGTTTATTTAAAACATGGCTATTATAAAGAGAATTCACTCTCTCACCTTTGATAGAGCAGTCAAGTGTGTACTGGGGAAGTTACGCAGGCTTTTTAAAAATTTAATATTGGTAATTCAGTCAAGGATATCAAAAAAATCCATCCGTTGGGGTAAGACGTTTGCAGGATTGTTTATCAAAATAAATTGAAACTCTTCCAAGCGCTTTAATCTACTGACTGTTGATCAGCCATTTAGAGAAATATGTTGATGTGACACACAAACGGTTGCTTCATATCTTTCATACATTATCTCATCAATGTCGGCACCGTGTTACTTTGTTTCATCGTTTGTTTTATGCCATTCTACAACTATTAGTCGTATAATTGACTGTTTAACCATCTATGGGTTTCTGCGTTTATTCAAGAAGTAGCCTGTAGTAACTTGGACTCAGTAATTTTAGGTCTCATATCGACAGTATTTGTCTGTCAAGTTTGAGCCATCTTCGTTTAGTTTAGAGATATGTATATTTCCTCACTTTTAGGGTTGTGTTTATCCACTTTTCAGTTTTCATATGGAATGCAGACTGTGTTTCAGTTTACATTTTGGATGGGGATTCCGGGACACTGTGTCATTTCGGAAAATATGGCAGTTAACGTTAACTGAGATGGCAGAAGTTAATGTGCTTTTAAAATAATTTGAGGGAGAATAAAACTATTAAATCAAGTCGAAAAAAAATTTAAAAGTGAGAAGCGAAGCAGATAGTAAGGAAGGCATATGAGTTGTTAATACCTTTCAGATTTCTAAGCCGTAAAATTTACCTTATTCACGGGCTCGATGAGAATGTAGTATCAAAAAGTCTCTAGAAATATGTGCTTGTGATCGCCCGCATGATTTGAATGTAAGAGTAGAGTAAAATGCAAAGGGTTAGCGGGAAGAAAATGTGATGGAGATTATCTTAGTGGTCTAGAAGTGTTAATTCTAGGTTGAGTTTCTCAAGTATATTGTTTCAGAAAGTCAATACATGATAAAAAAATCAACTACAACAAAACTGTTTGCTTTTGGTTCAAGTTTTAGGAATCTCGTTATTATTCGTAACTTACTTGGTGTCAATTTCATAGCACTAATCCATAAAGTCTGTGAGTGTTGTGTGTCTGGGTGGTATCTCTTCCACTACACGAGTTATGAAACAACTCAAGTCTTAACATGTCGTACTGCTTCGTGGTCAGTCTATTTCAAAGTTCTTTTTATCACTATACTGTTATTTTAATTCTCACATATAAGCCGTATTGTCTTTATTTTCCTCAGCTGTTCGTCATTGCTCGAATTCTAAGTCTATCTGCCATTTCGAGTCGCTAAATGGTTGCTTGTCCAGTTTACTGTATAAAGTGGTTATTCTTACATTACTTGTCCCTTCAAAACCTGCCACATATAATGTTCCCACATTGGTGCCAATCAGACGACAGGCTGATTTTTTCATGACATTAGAAAGCCTCATTATTTATGTGTGATGTATCTCAGATATCTCGTTTAAATTCGTTGTATACCTCTACCTTTTACCATTAAATACACTTTTTATGCGAGTTTAACCAGAAGCCTTACAGCATCGGTGTCCTTATAAGTTGATGTCAGTGTCTCAATAATCTCTAGAACCGAACATTTATTAGTCCAGTGGGTTGTTTATGTGCTGATAAGCTAGGCTATACAAGAGTAAGAAATAATTGATCTGGAAAGCGTTGTATATTTTTTTGTCATCCTCACTCACGGATCCAATTAAGTGTTTTGCGAAGAGCTAAGTGCTTTCTTGGTCAGTAGCACTTTACTGATATTATAGTGCCCCTGGTGGAGGATTTGACTACACAGATATGTCTATGCTCAGTGGATTCATCTTTAGTTAGTGGGGAATAGATGTCTGTGCGTTAGATTATGAGGTTAATTTCTGCAGCCCTGCGCAGACTACAGTTTATTTCAAGCCAGTACCAACTTCCTGTACGGCCACTGTGATTACGCTGCTTGATATCCTTCCTCTGTCAATCAACCTTGAACTGAAATGGATTACACACTACTGTCAGCTACCGATGCTGCATAAAACACCGTCAATTATTTCAGAGTGCTTTTGATGCACTTCGGTAGTAATTTTTTGTAGGGTGGATTTCACTTGTGTTTTGGTGACTATTAGAAAATGTCTTGTAAGCAGTTTAATTTAAACACATCACTTGTATTTCTTAGTGCGGCTATTCGTTGGTAGAACACTGTTACACTTATTGCAGGCCAATAATCTCTGTATTTGTTCAGCTTACCTCTTCCTTTAATTCGTTGAATGTAACTGCTTTTATATGTTTTAGTTATGTCACTAAGACGTGTGCCAACTATTTTAAGGCTCTGTATAAAACCACAGATGGAATGAGTGTATACAGTCATTCATCATCACTGTTCTCACACACCTTTCTAGTGAGGCAATTCCTAATTTCCCCGTTGTTTTTGAACTTCACGAAAACAATATTGTGGAGATCCGCTACTTAAACCTTGCAGACGGTATCTTACTGTTTAAAAAACCCGAAATGCATTTAATTAGTCGGCAGTCAATGTCTGTAAGTTTGTTACGTGCTTTGTTGAGCATTAGTACAAATTACTTACAAAATCGGTACAGGCCTATTCCCACACTCACTTGAAAATGAGCTGTTAGAAGTAGTCGAAAGATCCACACAGCTGGGTAGTTGCATGAGCGTGGTCAATGAAACTTATAGTACATCAAAAGCAGGAATAAAATATACTTAGCGAAGAGGTAGTTTACCTATAATTTAGAGCCATGGGTGAAACATAGTTGTGTTTGGTTAGCCTCTATTGGTGCGTTACAGATTCCTGAATCGGATTCGACACATCATTCGACTCAGTTGTTTGGGGGAGTTACTGCGTATGACTCGGAACAGAAATCAGTGGCGAACGTGCTGAAGTTTCATTATTTTTTCTACTGCCGAAGGTAATTCGATATCTCGAACACTCCCTGAATAATATGATATACACTTTCCTCCATTTAACTCTGTTGTTTCATATTTCATTTTTGCCTGTACTACGGTTTTCACAGAAATAAATAGCCTTCTTAGAATTATACGTTGATTTGTCTCTGCTTTTCTGTTGCTTTAAGATTATGAAAAGGAAAGTACTTTATTAGACATTTTGACTAGTTTATAGCAAAATGTAATTCTATAATCAGATTGGGTTTTTTGATTGAAGAGTGAGTTAAACTATCAGAAATCGTTTGACACGTACTAATTGTTTGTTGATAAAAATGTTGATTTTCTTTCTACTTGAAAAAAGACTTCATTAAAATTTTGATTAGTTGGTTAACACATAGTAAGGTTTTTGTGCAGATATATCTGTTGTTTATGGTATCAAGCCTGAATGTATGCTTTCATACTATTCACAGTTTAAATTAGCGTTTGTTTCTATCAACTTTTTAAAGGCTAATATCAAATTTTATTTTACAGCTAATCTACAAATTTGTCTTCACCGGTGTGCTGAGAATGCATAGTATGAGGTCTTTCATGTCTTCAGCTGCAATACACCTGGAAGTAAGTGTGGTCTGCTCAACAAATATCGGAGCAAAAAAATAACAAATGGTAGACACGTGTCCATTCACTGTTCCACAAAATGTTATTGACCCTGGACCTGAGTATTATGGGAAATCTGTCACTTCATGCTCACACTACCAAGCAAGACATCAGTCATCAGACGTTGCGGAAGTCCAGACGTCATTTAGCGGGACAAATCAGTCTAACCTGCAAAGTAACACAGAAGGCATGCCAAGAAATCATGTCCCCACGTATACACATTCGAATCTAATTCGTACAACTGATTCCATACCTTATGTACGATCGTGTCCAAATATGGGTGATTATCATATATTTGATAGTGTCAACAACAATAATAATTCAGTAAGACTATTTAATAGTCAATTCCTGACTTCTTGCCCACCAGCTATTCATGAAGTGCAATCAGATGCATCTCAGGATGAAAATGTTTCACGTCGATGTTGCTTTTGTACTTGTGCTCCACTTCTACCCAAAGCTTATTGTACGAATACATGCTGCTCTAAACCTAACTGTCTAATTTCAAGTGATTCCTTATGTTCAGTTGACACACTTTTCTGTTTATTTCTTCCTGGATCTTGCAAATGTCGCCTATTCTCTTTTCCACGCCACCGAATTACTAATGAAAACCTTATAATTCTGAGCATAATCCAGTTGTTGTGTGGTTTTGCAGCTATTGTTCTTTCAAGTGTTGCTCTCACTAAGGCTGTCTTCTTATACCAAATGGCTACAGGATTATGGGCTGGAATACTGATGGTAGTTACTGGACTTCACGGTCTTTTTGCTGCTCGTCGTCCGGTTGTATGTGCCTTGATAGGCCTGCTTGTGCTTTGTATGATAGTGAGTTTAGCTGCGTGTGTTTTAATTTGTGTTTCTGTGGCTGGGACAATTGAAGATGGATTTCTTGGAAGTACTGCTTCCCGCAAAGCATTTCCACGTGAAATTATAAGAATTTCGTCAGGTTTCCGTGAAAACGCAACATCTTCCCAAAAGTATGAGCAGAGGCCTTCTATGGTAACCTTAACACCCAGAAGTCCAGGATGGTCTGAATTTGATCAAGTACAGCTTTGGGACTTTAAGAATGTTCTACGTGAAACACCTGACTCTTACTTACGTACATGCCAGATCATCTTACACCTCCTTCTACTGTTAGTTGGTATTCTTGAAGCATCAGTTAGTCTTGCAACGTCTATTCTTTGCTGTCGGTGTGTCTGTTCGAATTCCACTAACTTCCGATTTCAAAACTCCCGTTCGTTACGTACGAATATAGTATCATTCAATGCCGCTACAGCCAATCAAGCAGCTTCTGTGTTACGATCAGGTGCAGTAAATGACTTCGTTGGCAGTGGAAATGTAATATTAGCCCTTAATACGGATGTACCAGTGCAAAATAATGCAAGCAGTAACATTACGGAGGCAATCCTTCAGCCACAGATTCATCATACTTTAATTCCTTTTCTTTCCGATCTAAATCGTCATTCATTGATTCTTACACAAGCAGGGACTGGTACTATAGCCTTGTCTGCAGCACGTGCGGCGGCCAATCTTGTAGATACTAGAAGATTCGAGACCCAACATGGGACATCTTTTCCTTGTTCTTCTAATAATGAACAATCCTCAGTTCAACGACCTCACACTCTTGGTAGAAATATGTTTAATCGTCTCAGAGGATGTCGTCTCAATCGTTCTAATGAATCTCGTCCTCGCCTTTTGTATACAACTCTTCATATACCTGCAAATTTATCTAATGACTCTGATTCCTTTCCCAATCCGCCTCCTTTTTCACCTAGTACTACTATTGTGTATGTGATGCCGTCACCTACGCACGAAGAACCTCCAATGATATTCCCACCATTCCCTCCTAGTTATAGTGAATCACAGAAGAAGTCCCCTCTGACTACATCTATCAACCGCATCCAACGAAATCAGTCTGTACCACTCCAACCCCACCCGCCTCGTCGGCTTAGAAGACGTTTAGTTAGGTACGGAATATCTCGTGCTCGCCTCCGGTCGCGTTTATCACGGCTCTTTTGTCGGCAAAACTCACGTCAGTGTAATTCCCTGTGGACTGCTAATAATTCCCGACGTTCCAGAGTAACGTGCCACTTATCTAGATCTGTTGCTTCTGCTCCGATTTCTGTTGGTGATAGATTAATACAACCCGTTCTTATAATTGGAGACCCAGGTACAGCCAGACATTCAGAAGACCCACCACCAAAATATTCCAGATAAATCTCTTATTATCTAACATTATTTTGTAGATTATTATAAATACTGTGCAAATTTAATCCATTCCTACTCAGCCTGTCTCACTCCCTTAAGTCAGCATTTCATAATCTGTAAAAGCTTGTGATCAAACATTTGCCACAACTAGTCTATTTTGTTTTGCCTTGGTGTTCCAGCGTTTGTTACTACCTTCAGTTCAACAAAGAAAAAGTTTTTATTTAAATAAGATTATTACTTGTGAATATTTTAGTTATTTTTTAAATTGTTTGATTGGTTTATATCTTTATTGTTTATCAGAAAAGTGGGCACTACTTGTAATTATATTGTTGAAATAACACCTTTCAGTGAAATTCTCTTCTTCTTCTTTATTACTAGGAAATAAATGAGGTTGGGTAATTCACTGTGGTAAATCTAAAGCCTTTAGCGAGTTAATTTGATCACTTCTTACAATACATTATTAGGGGACAAATGCATGAGTACCAACGGTGCATGTGAAATCTCACAGGTGTGAATATCTGGTACAGTCCGTTTTATATAGTGATGCAGTCTAATAATAAGATAAGATAACTGTCCTTTAAGTAAAAATAACTTCACTCAGTATGTTTTAGAAAGATCACCCTGCGTTGCTGTAGCTTGTAATGAAATCTTCAAGAAACGACTTCTTCAGCTATCTACATCTAATTATTTTTGTGTAATAGTTAGTTTAAAGCATTTTCGTAGTAACTGAACTCAAAGTATTGTGCGTAGTTGCTGTACGTAATTTCGATTCATAATCTCGCGTCCTTATAGTATTCCTTCAGGACGCCTATGAGATTGTATAAAGTCCCATTCCTCTTACAAATATTTATTATTTGCCAAGTGGATGAAAAGTTGAGTAGTTAAAAAAAACGGCTGTAATGTGGTGGTCTAAGTAGTTAGCTCTTAACCATTAGTTTTGAAGAATTTATATTGTAAGTCCTTATCAAGTAGGCGTTGCCCACATCTTACTGACTTGTATGTGGTTGATGACATTCTTTCGACTAAAAGTAACCGGCATATTGCGAAGTTATTCAAAAAGACGTAGGTTTATGAGTTAACTAGTATTTGGATACATTAATTCTAATGTAATAGCAAAATGTCGTTCAGTCTATTTTTTATTCCATGAATATAAATCTGGATGTAGTGAACGTCTTTGCATTACTGAGAGTGGTTCACGATTTTAAGCCTTTTGTAGATAAACGCGGAAATGCAGTAAATCCATGTGCTTGTAAACTCCGTTTGATTGATACAGACGACTCATTTTACAGAGCTGTGGTTAGGCGATGGGGATGTGATGTCATTCAACTTGCTTCTAAGCTGAGCAAAATATACCTGAACTATTCGTCTTCACAAATTTAATGTAATTCGTGTTGTGTTCTCTGTATCGAAACAGTCTTATCCGTATATGTTTTTGCAAATAATAATGAACCTACTAAACTATGTACAGATATTTTATTCTGTAAAATTATTATCTCAAGTTTCAGACTGTAGATGTACACTATCAAACACTTGTGACTAACGTTATACAACGATAGTAACTGATAGGATATCGCATAAAGTAGTATATCATCATTTCTCACGTATATTGTGATTGATTGTGCGATCAATCATTTCTCACGCTAGTGTTATTGATTATGCGATAAATCATTTCTCATGTCTGTGAGGCCAACTTTATTGTTGTAAAAAAATGCATAAATACCATGTTTCATTTTCCCAATAAACATACGAATACAGTTCGGTTCAGTACAGTACCTTACAGTCACAGGCCAGCCTTTGTCTTTTGATATTTGCGTGGTTCAGTGAATCGGAAGGCACAACGGGCGAATAGGCATATTGAGCAGGCGCAGACATAACAAAATGACTATGGTTGTCATTTAGTTCAGCGCAGTTACAGCAGTAAGGCTGCAACTGAGTGTCTCCAGCACAAATCTGTATTAGCAGCGTAGTATCACTTGTGTGTGAGGGTTTAAGTTGAAGACTTCTTCAAGCATTTTGAACGTACATGATTAAGGAGTGTTTGTTTCATCTATAGTAACTCAAATGAATGTTCTATTTGACCAGTTATGAAACTAAGAAATTCTTCTGACTTCTCTTTCTATAAATCCCAACAAAATAGTACTTTTTCCTTTCCTCAGCTTCGTTCGTATTACCTTTGTACTTTGTGTGGTACACAGCAACACAAGTGGAGCTAAGTCGTATTCTTCGAATTAAGTTGGGCTATGGATACAAATTTATTCTGTTGTAAGTCCGTGGAGTTTCAATTTTTATAAAATAATAGAGAGCAATAAAACAACACACTGCTCTAAACTAAATGGCTTCTTATCAGAAATCAGCCAATGGTCCAAGGAAAACGGTCTCACCTTAAACCCCTCCAAATGCCAAACAGTTAATTTCACCTTTAGGCACAAATCTGACCTAAACAAACTGGTTAGCCCTCACGAAGTGTGCAACATAGATGGCACTGAAATCGAAACCAAGTCGGAAATTAAATACCTAGGCGTCACTCTATCTTCTGATCTTTCCTGGTCGTCTCATATCTTGAAGATTTATAAGAAAATATTCCGTCTTACCTTCTGCATCAAGAAGTAAAGACATTCTGGTGTAACCCAACCCTTACTACTACAATTTGTTAACTCCCGTATTCTGCTTATTATTCTCTATTGTTCCCCCTTAGTGTTTCCTGGGCTATTGAAGAAAGACTATGCCTTATTACGTAGGATGTTAAAGGTTGTCAGCAGGGTAAGCAGTTTACCACTTAGCCAGCTTGTTAATATTCTGGTGGACAGACACATGGACTCATGTGAAAAATGGGCGAAATCCATTTTATCTGACTCACAACACCCTCTATATTCACAACTCTCCCCATGTATCTCTTCAGGGAAAACCAGAAGCCTATATAGTAAGTACAAAAGCTCAACCATACCCCACCTAGCTCGTGTTCTGTGCGATAAAGAAAGCATTAGGCGTGAAACCTTTAACTTATTAAATAGTCAGTAGAACAATGGATCTCGTCTTTCCAAGTCACATCATTTACAGGTACAACGTTTTTTCTGCCTACTTTTTTTTTCTGTATTTATTTTTGTTATGTGCTGTTTTGTTTCTCTCTTCCTTACAAACTGTACTTAAAACATTCTTGTTCGTTCTTTCACACTCTGTATATCTCGACCATTTTGCTATTGCTTACGCCAGTAAATATGCTAGTAGTATCTACTTTTCTAACACCTTCAAACACTCTGTTTAAAATTTTGGCTTTGCTACCGACATGCTAATATGTTGTTGTCAAAACTGACTGAGATAACTTTAATCTATGTAGAACTTTATTTATTGTTAATGTACTAACTGGATGCAATATTTTAGTAAAATGCTGAGAATTCCATTCTGTATCACAAGTACTGATTTGGAATAAAGCTATTATCTTATCTTATCTTAATATTATTTACAATTCGGATGTCCTCACGCCTACTTAATAGAATAAATTTCATTTGATATAGGATGTAGTGATACAATAATCCTATAATTAAATGCACTATCCATATTTCCTTCTTTCTGACTAATTATCTGTACTGGTTGATATTTTATATTTTCCACTTTCACTGATTGTGCAAAAGCTGAGTCACTTCTACATTATATTTCATGTCTGATTCTTAGTAGTTTTGAAGTAAGTGCTAACAGACTTCAGCTACTGTGTAATCAGATACTGCTCAAAGTTAGTAGTGAATCTTGTAGTAGCTTCGTTAATTTACTTATAGTTTGTCTCTGATTCTGATTAAATTGATAAAGTATCAGTTTTATATTAGTCTTTTTTTTTTTAGCAAATCGTAAGGTTTAGAATTCGTTTAAAAAAAATCACTTATATCTCCATTTGTCTACATAGTTATTTGTATAGTAATATGTTGTACTATCCATCAAAATAGCTTACGTATGCATCAGCGAGCTATATCAGCTGTTAGAGGTAGCCGGTATTCACAATAGGCATGTTTACATATTGATGTGGAGGTTTGTTCAGCATGTCTTTACCTCAAATTCGTAAATAGTTCAAAGTATTCTCTGATACTGAGTTTCGCACAGCTAATAATTATAGTTCTTCTTAATTTCCCGTATACAACAGTCTTCTTCCAAACAAAGTGTTTATTCTGAAAATATCTCTATATTGTTAGACGTCAGTGATTAGTTTTGTCCTACTCTTCACTTCTTCAGATTATAGTTGTCTCTTAGTTATTCTGTACTTATTGTATTTGGATGTCTGGCTAAGTGCCTTCAGGGTTTGACTATAGGCGGTCGGCTCTTCGGACAGGATGTTGCTCGACATAATTTATGCCAAGAAATACCACTAGCCTTCACACACAATAAATGTGAATGCTAGCGCACAGGAAGTCGATGTCTTATAAGTGCAGGTGGCTTGCAGTAGTGGTATGCGAGTTTAAATCTCGTCTCAACTAATTCGATTTGAGCAACCGAGTAACACCATAACTCCCCACCATACAAAACAAATCGTGATTTATGGTGTAGCAATTAGGGAAATCTGTACAGGATGACTTTGACCGAAAGGTGCTACCTTGACGTGGTAGTTGGGCTTTTATATCAAAACTACCCAACTAGCTACACTGGTCGGAACAAATGTGTCTGCAGGTCTTACCGTGGCAGAAAGGTTGTTTGGATAGTGGTTAGACTAAAAATAGTTACCATCATGGTGTATGTCACTCACACTATGTTAGTGGTCTGATTGTGGAATCGTGCTGCTAGCGAATATGGAAGTAACAACAGTAAGTTGTTCCTCTCGGACCACCAGCAAGACAGCTATGCTGCCTCTGCTCTGGGGAGACGGTTTGGAAAAGATCAAACTCAAAAAATGTATATCCCGACTTACCCGGCAGCTGTAAGTATCCTGACGGAAACAAAAACAAAATGCAACTCAAACAGTCCGTAAGTGACCGGTGTCAAGCGTTAGTCGCCTGGGTTTTGCGGTCACGCAACACTATTGGTGCTTTGTTTCGGGTGCCCCAAGAAGAAATCAACTCCCACAGTATCGGCAGCCATTATAAGTGGGGTGAGAGCAGGCTGCTAGCCAAATTGGTAGACATTAATTTACGTCATTGTTCATATCTCAAATATTGGTTGTGAGAAAATATGAACAAGAATGATTCAACAACCAATCATAGCAGACTTTGCGTGAACAGATACTGTTAACATATAGGTGATCTGACAGTCAAGAGACAGTCACAAAGAGATGCAAGGTTAGCTTTCTGTGAGAAACAACCAATCAGAAGAGTGTGTTTATTTGCTTGAATAAGCTATAATAATGTACATGAAAATATATAAATAAGTGTT